CTCTGTCTCTCTCTCTCTCTCTCTCTCTCTCAAAAATAGACATTTTAAAAAAATCCCTTTTGATTTAAAAAATCCCGTGTTGGGGAACGAATGCCCAGGCCAGCCCCTCTGGTTTACTGTGGACACTGAGGGCTGCCCCGTCGGTGGAGCTCCTTTTCTGAATCTCCGAGCAGCTACCGGTGCCCGGATCCATTGGCAATCCAACGCTTCCTCGTAAAGCGTGAAGTCTGTCCGTATATTCTGCTAACAAGTACTCTAGTAAGACACTGTCACTACCACTTGTGTGTAAAGTGATCTGACGCTAAACTGGCCGCTTACACCCGTCAGGTTCTTCTGGGCCAAATTCTCCTCCTTGCTGGTCCTTCACAACCCTTCCACCTTCCAGATGGCTCCTAGCTCTTACACCAGCCTCTCCCCTTCCCTGTCCGATAGGTCTTTCCAGCCGGAATCCTAGTGGGCTCGAGACCCCAGCCCCGAGAGCGGCCACACCACACTAACACGCGTGTTAAACCCCAATTTCTTGTAAATTCCAAAGCCACGCTCACCGGAATAAAGCATGAGGTCCAGGCAGACGAAATAGAAAAAGGCCTTGCTGAAGATGTGCTCTTCTGATATAGAAAGGTCCCACAGCCACCCCAGCACTTGGATCAATTGTCTGTTTCTGTGGCAAAGGAAGGTGGTAAAGATTAGGAGGTGCTGGGGAGGAGAGGACGGAGTTTAGCGCTGGGCTCGGCTTCATCCTGCCCGCAATTCCGGACCAAATGCGGCCCTTTCGCAAATTTCAAAGCCACTCCCAAATCGCAAATTGGCTCTTGGCTCAAACTGTTGTCACGGACCCCTGCGTCAGGGCCACCAGAGTCAGGCCAAGTTGGCTGGAGCCTCCGGTCCTGGTTGCCCTTCTCTGGGCTTCTGCCTCCCCTGTGAGACTCCTTCCTTGCCCTCCACCTGGCAGCCTGACTCCCATAGCGGGGGAAGACAGTAAACAGACTAGGGATGATGTACACACAGCGGGGGCCTGGCTGGTTCAGCGGGTGGAACGTGGGACTCACGATCTAAGGGTTGGGAATTCGAGCCCCACACTGGATGCAGAGATTATTTTTAAAAATAATAAAATCTTACTCAACACGTCTCCGGAGGCAAGGGAAACAGAAGCAAAAATGAACTACCAGGTCCTCATCAAAATAAAAAGCTTCTGCACAGCCAAGGAAACAATCAGCAAAACTAAAAGGCAATCGACGGAATGGGAGAAGATATTTGCCAACGACATATCGGATAAAGGGTTAGGGTCCAAAATCTATAGAGAATTTATGAAACCCAACGCCCAAAGAACAAATAATCCAGTGAAGAAATGGGCAAAAGACATGAATAGACACTTCTCCAAAGAAGACATCCAG